ACAATAAAACATCACAGTGACACTTACTTACAATAAAACATCACAGTGACACTGACTTACAATAAAACATCACAGTGACACTGACTTACAATAAAACATCACAGCGACAATCACTTACAATAAAACATCACAGTAACAATCACTTACAATAAAACATCACAGTGACAATCACTTACAATAAAACATCACAGTGACACTGACTTACAATAAACATCACAGTGACATTGACTTACAATAAAACATCACAGTGACAATGACTTACAATAAAACATCACAGTGACACTCACTCACAATAAAACATCACAGTGACAATCACAATAAAACATCACAGTGACAATCACTCACAATAAAACATCACAGTGACACTCACAATAAAACATCACAGTGGCAATCACTCACAATAAAACATCACAGTGACACTTACTTACAATAAAATATCACAGTGACAATCACTTACAATAAATCATCACAGTGACACTGACTTACAATAAAACGTCACAGCGACAATCACTTACAATAAAACATCACGGTGACACTGACTTACAATAAAACATCGCAGTGACACTGACTTACAATAAAACGTCACAGCGACAATCACTTACAATAAAACATCACAGTGACACTCACTTACAATAAAACATCACAGTGACAATCACTTACAATAAAGGTTCCTCTACATTTTCTGATTAACAGTGCCCTTGGTTTTTTTCGGCGGCAGGATTTTACTTCATTGGCATTCCTATAAAAACAAAGTGTGATTCTCTTAAAGCCATTTTGCTTTGTTTCCATCTTAGACTGAATGCATTGACGAGCTGATAAGGACGGTTACCAGAAACCTTGCCAGATCCTTTTATTTTTCGTTCATAAATTTCGACAAAATGTCTTAATAGTAGGGACTTCACTGACTACACCGAGATCATATTCCCCTGAACTTGAAAGCAAGGCCCCTAAAGACTCGTCTACATATGTCGCTCACCTCGATCAATACTTACAACATGACCAACATGGACAGCTCACTATCAAGCTGCACGATCAGCGGCATTTTCCATTACGTGAACTTTCTCTTTCTTCATTATGACATAATGTTGCAATTTTTGCAGTTTTCAATTTCTTGCTCCAAATATCAAAAAAATCGTGACAGATATCGACTGCTAACAGACAAATAAGTACGAAAGGTTAAAGAGATGCATATTATTGAAATCTAAGGGAAAGGTTATCGTCACCATCAATATCTCATTTGAAATATTCTATTTCCTTGTGCGTTTTGGACGTCGCTGGGTTTTTTTTATTTTTTTTCCTAAGTGTTCCTTTTGTTTCGTTGTCACTACCTCGTTTCTTTCTTTAAGGTTGAGACACTTCTTGCATTTGACCTAGATTAACATGGCGGTTATAAAGCGTAGGTCTCTTACCCTGCCAGAACATGTGAGCTGATTCTCCTTGTACTTTTCAAGCGTCTCAATGTAAACCTTTACTATAGTGAAGTTGTTGTAGTGCAGAGTGTAGATACCATGTAATAGACCCTATTAAGATCCATGTTTTATTACGTCAACCTCATTTTCTTTATCCAAATCTAAGGTCAAGTTAACGTGTACTTCGAGAAGTTGGGTAGTGCACGAATGCCACACTCGGATGCCTTAGCAGCGTTCAGATTTTCCCCAATGTAGTCCATACTTTTCAGCTCTAATTAGTTGTTCTGCTCAACACTGGTTTAGTTTAATCGGTTTATAGTTACCGGGATCTGTTTCGCCTTTTTTTCAAAACTAGGACACACAATGGCCATTGGTTTATTTCTTGTTCCACGAAGAGTTATTGCCAGACGATTAAGGACCCGGATGCTATGATGCTATGCTCGTTAGCGCATATGCAAGGAACTATGTACGGTTTATGTAGTTAGATTGATTTATGTCGCTTTCGTATTGTGATTAATGTGATAGACAACTGCTGTCTCAGGATAATGCGACACCACACAGCTGCGACTCTGCAGCAAGCAAGTACTCGGTACACGTAACACTTAAATAAGAGAACACGAATAGACGAGACAAAAGTGGCGTTTTCCCCTACGTATGGAGTTATGCCCCTTTGTTTAAAAACATGGTGCACTCTACTCATGCAAAAGTACTGCAGTGATTCAAATGATACTTCATACACATTAAGAGGATGATAATTAAACTAATAAATTTGCGCTACCAACCAGTGACTTTCCCCTTTATTTTAAAACATTGTTCGTACTAGTACAACTCATCGTAAAAAAACTGCAACTATCTTAATGATTCACTCTGTAAATATAACACTGACACGGATGGGATTTGTAATGAAGCATACTGTATATATATTAAAGTTTCCTCCCGAATTTGAGCAGTACATTCTATGCCCCCTTTTTATACATTGTTTGACTAATTTTCGAAGTGTACCGTGTCTTTATGACTGATACACTTGATACACAAACCCTCATGTCAAGGGAATGCTAATGAAATATATAAATTGTAGTTAGCTCCTAACATCAAGAGGATATGAATAAAATATGTAAAATAGAGATACACCCTTTTATGGAGTTTTGTCCCTTTGTTTTAAAATGTTTTTCGAAGAACTTATCCTACATTTCAAGACACAGGTAGGGATATTAGACTGCCATTTCGGTGACAGTTCTTAATGTGTTATGTGACAGTTCTTTATGTGTTTGCCTAGGTTTTTTAGCCCTTCGTTGATGGTTATAGATATCTAACGTTTCGTTGCCCCTGTGCTGATGCACTAGTGACTTTATATTCAATCTTTAATGCATCTCCTTTAATATTTTGTTCGACACAGTTTGATGATCCTAACAATGTAGATATATCTGATAAGATGCATCAAGACTGCTTCCCGAGACATGTTTTTGATGAGTTTCAATATTACTTCATATCTTTAATGTAAACAGTGCTTTCCGTATTGGTAACACATTATGTGAAGATTTTTTTCACTAACTATATTATTGATGATGTATTTTTGAAATTAAATATGGATAGTTGCATTCTTTTTAATTTTATGAAACATTTCTGGCAGATGAATGATAAATCAACCCGAAGTTAATAAGCTCTTTGTGTTCCAATGTACCTTCAGAATACAGCATACAGTAAACAATTACCAACAGCAACCAAACTGCTCCTCTAATTACCATGACATACCGCCAGTTCACGTGCTGGTGTGATTTATTATGGGGTATCATATTGTATAGTTATCAAACACTATGTACAGTGGTGGTTATTCCTTAAATTCTCTGTCAATTTTATTACAAATTCGCTACTGGTGTTTTAGGTCCTGGAGTTTAATTGAATTTTTCGGGTAATGGCTTTTAAGACATGGTCTACAGTAATATCAATTTCCTGGATAGAATATATCCTTTTGTTAAAGTAGAGTCGTTTTTCACCTGTTTCTGAACTGTCGTCGCAGGTGATAAGTTAACCCGAAGACTTCAACATATTTGTATGGTTGATGCCAGTTTTGTTAATCGTTTGCATTTCCAAAACGGTTTCAAGTTTGTTTTAATAATTCAAGAGATCCTATTTCGAGCGTCAAAAGGTTGCCCTTAAAATGAAAGTTCTTGTGCATTTTAAAAGGGTAGGCACTTTTACTATGTATTTTATGACGTATTACCGTCCTGTTTATGTGTGATTATTTGGGGATTTGTTTTGTTCATTCCTTCATCTCAGTGACCCCAAAACACTTGTCCAGTACTCTCATGTTGGTATTTTAGAGGTTGTTTCGTTGTCTTCGTAGTTTTCTGCATTATAACTGTGATCCGATATCTCCTTTACGAGATTCTTCTTTAGTCTTGCGTTAACACACAATATACACAAACCGAAAGTTAAGACATATGATCACTGTTCCCCGACTTTCTACATACCTGTTGATATTTCGTATTATCTTCTTTACTCTCACTGGTGAGGATTTGATCTAGTATAAAGTATATGACCTGACTAACTTCAGCAACTTGAGTCCCGGGTACTACCGACATATTTCCACATTGTTTTCTCTGATGTACTTCACAACATTCTACATTCTCCCTTTCACCATTGATCTCCTACAGTATATACACAAAACAATAAAGTCATGGAGTCGTTTACGGGTGTTTCTATTAGACTCCTGACCCCTTATTGCCCTCTGAATACTCTGTGGGTAAACGACCTTTGCCAGGTAAAGGGGCACCCTTTGTAGCCCTACATACAGTATAGGTTAACACAGTCAACATAACAGGCAATGTAGCTATGGTGAGCTGTTGTGAATAAGAAGAATGTGTTTTATGATAAACTTGCCTAGAACCTATCACCTACATCTGAACCATATTGCCCTTAACTGGTTAGGTATTAAATTCGCTTGATATACATGTAACAGCTATACATCTGTAAATTAGGTGAAAAATTAAGAATTGCGTCACAGAACCAATTAATTTCTCAAAAACGATATTGCATGATCTAGTTCAAATATATATACATAAAACAGTCACTTGAACTGAGGGATGTGGGCCTTGCTTCTGTGTAAGTTTATAAATTGTTCACTATTGCAGTTTCTTTGCATAATTGTTGTTTTGTTATTTACCTTCAAGTTTCAATGTAACTATAAATGAGTAATACACTTATTGAATTGAATATCAATAACATAGAAACATGATGTAATCTCCTAGCTCAACAGCTAACCTATGAGAAAATTGTGTGTTTTAATTTGTGTATCCAAATTATATGTCTATGATGTTAATTTGTATTACTGACCCCAGTACCGTACCATTTCAATCCTGTGTTCGTGTTATACGTTAGATATTTGTAAATGTTCCAGGGCATAACTGTATAGTCGTCAATGCGATAAACAACAGATAGATAAGCACTTGTCTGTTTGAGGCGATCTTACACACCAGAATTCGTATCCGGTCACAGTTGACATGACGAAGGGGTCGTCAGAAACCAGAGATGTTACCTAGCCACATACAAGGAGATGGCTGGCAGACACAATTCAACATAACCACAAATTAGCCATATTTTAATTGGAACATCTCAACAATAATAAGGTCAGTCATCATCATTTTCAAATAACAATATCAACTCGGAAACGGGATGTAAGCTTATCTTGCCTAGCGTATAACTCCATACTGATATTTATCGTTTCGCTTCAATTTTCTATCTTTTAAATTCACGCGTACGGTTAGTAAATTAAATTCATATAATGAAAAAGCACGCATCGGTGAACGTATAACATTAAGTTATGTTACGAAAATAGGATAGTTTTTAAGTTTGAGCTGATGCGGTTAGTTTAGCAAACTTACTGTACCCTCTGGACGCGAAACGACGACAGACGATATACAGGCGGCTGAACATCCTACCTGCTGACTAGTCCGGTACGTAAATACGCCGTGAATTATCACACTGTCAATTAGATTAATTTGTAAGCATTATCAATTACCATATCTTCATTACTTTTGCAAAATTCCGTCATAGACGAACGGCTGATGTGTGTCACCTTTCATGTGTTTTTTTCTCACTTTGGTTTTAGTAGAAACATATAATTTAACGCATACGTTTGACACAATAGATTGTTTAAATCTATGTATTAGATAGTTTGATGTTTCTTTTTGGCGAATAGTCTCTCTCCATCCTCACCCTTTTATGATACATATTTTGAATTATATGTAATTTTCAGTATTCATGTTTCCACATGAAAATGCGGTATTGATACTCCGTCCTCATATCTCAATGACAACACAAAATACTTAACCGAAATCTAGTACTAATATAGTTGCGTGTGTCGATATCAAATTTTCTGTTTACGGCCAATGACGTCAAGCTGTGAAAAGGCCTTCTTATGAATACTGACGTCACAATTCACTCCATTTACAGATGTACCAAGTCGGTGTAATTGAAATGACCCAGTAGTGAATAATTGGTTAGTTGATAATTCACCCAATATAACATGTATTTAACGTTCGTTTTAAGTTAGATATACTCATTCCTTTTCTAGATGTATCTCCACTGATACATACATTGTATGAAGAAATATCGATGGAAAGTACATGACATTTATTACACTTATAAATATGTAGTTATTTTTCGCATTTGACTGCAAAAGGAGAAAATAAAAAAATAAAATATCTCGCGGATGTTTATATTCAACGAAATGAGATCACTGTGGCTGACATTAAACTTGCCAATATGTTTTTTTTACTTTCATCTCTGAAAACTCTGAAAACTGGTGTATGTTTGTCGGCAGTCGACATCTATCACGGACACCTGGGTGTTCGGAGAATTTCTTTTCATTTCAACAAATTTCATTGATTGGAAAACAAATGGATTGGACAACAGGCAAGCCTATATAAGTCCTCTGTGTCGGAGAATGCGCTTGAATACAGAATCAGCTGAGATATGTAAATACCGTAGGTAGGATGGTTTAGTTTGGTTTAATTTTGTTTTACGCCCTTTTAATAGCTAAGGTCATTTAAGGAAGTGCCTCCATGTGTGTAGTGTATGCGTGCTTGCGTGTGTTTATGCAGGAGACAGGGTATGTTGGTCGGATATTTTAGCATGCTACTATCAAGAACAGGAATGTTCACGAAATCGTCATGCTTATCGTACAGCTTAGTGGTAAGCCGTGCGTTTTGGTCGAGATTTTCCTTCCCAGTTCAGATAAGGTCTTCAATATATTCAGCCTTATATGAAAAGAAAATCAGGTCGGCCAGAATTGTTTGTTCCCAGAGGAATGCCTATGGTCTGCTAAATAATATTGCCAACGAACAATGTGGTGGTCAACCAAGAACTCAATCATTCTCACGATTTCATACTTATTATGTCGAATGAAGTGAGACATATTGTAATAGTACTGGTTCATCTGGTTCTGGTCCTGGTTCTTCTAATATGATCTTGTCCGGGCCGTAACTTTAAAACCGTTACAGGTAAAATTCAAGTATACATGAATCACACAAAGACGATATGCGTTGCACTGGCATTAGGTCAATGTGACCTTGACCCCAAGACTCAATATGTGGATTTTTTTCAGGAACATCTTCTCTGTAACTTTCAAACCATTTAAGATATTTTGATGAAAGATGCAGTTCAATTGCATCACCTACAGATGATGTGCAATGAAGTGTCATTATCTCACTGTGACCATTATCTCAAGGGAAAAGGTAAAAAAAAAGTCTGATTGTTTCAAACATTTAAAAGTGTACGCCAATGTGATGTCAACAGTTCCTCACTGTGTCTAATTTTGCTTAAACTTGACCTTTGAGGTAAAATGTCAAATAAGTGCAAAGTTTCAAATATATCTTGTCCGGTCTGTAACTTTTAAACTGCTAAAGGGGAGACATACGTTTTTGTTCACAAAAACAAATCTTTAGTTACATTCCATGGACGACTTTGTCGCTTATTTCATGAAGTATGTTTACAACCATAGAAGTATATGGCCATTCGCCTATTTTTGGAAAAAAAAGGTCCTCATAATAAGAAGCAAAGGTGTTCCTTTAGTTTGCTCTGAGGTTAAGTAGTAGTATAAAGTTTGGAAAAATCAATACCGCGACCGTAAATCTCAAAGCACATCAGGCGCATTCCTTAATAAGCTAAATTCCATTAAATATATGTACGAACAAATGTTTAAACGTACATATAGGTCAATGAACGCTTATTTATATTTAGGGGTAAAACCCTACTGTTTTCGCGGAGCTAGTAAAACGGATATTTGCGACAGTATTTTCACGATATACCGCCGCAAATTTCAGAATACTGTAGGTTTATCCCCATTCTAATTAATATCACCCAAAACCACCGAAAGAAACGACGATTTCACATGCAACACTAATTTTATTTTGTTTACAGAAATATACACATTATGCAGCGTAATCTTCAAAGGATTGTTATTTGGTTTCATACCTCCCTTTATTAGATTTACTGTTCGCTTTATTACTGTTCATTATCGGTCGGCATCCATGTGGCTGTCACGATTTCCAGATATAACAGAAGTGCGTTTTGAGATATAAAATTGCTATCACAACATGGGATCCCTATGTGGAGAGCTTGTCGATACTTGACAGCACACGTGGGCTATAGGCTACATAAAACGATTGGGATCTGATCATTAGCATTGCTAAAGTATCACATAGCAAGATCCTTCTGTTGCTAGGTTTTTGAAATTAATATTATATTTATAAAGGTGTTAAGTTGACAGTGCTGACAACGAATGTAAAAACCGGAGACGCTGTGTTGGGTAAGGGGACTTAGGTTAACAAGGCTGGCAAAGGGTGTAGTGCTTGCAAAGGAAAGTCGACCGAACTGCATTGCATCGCCATGGCTTAATATGTGTTAACCAAATAAGACACGTAGTCCAATAAGACGAACAAGTCTACACAAACATTACATTGATTGATAATTTGCACAGGCACGACAAGGCCCAAAATAAATCGGGAATACTTTCAAGATTGAACGTTCGATCATTACAATTTTAGTTTTTGCTTTTGCTGTTAATTCTGAATATCTACACATATGCAGATCGGGAGACGGGAATGTCCGGATATATAGGTAGAGGAGGGAGTAATGAAATGTCATTGAACAGAGGAATGGGGCACGAAAATATTTAGAGAAAAAATAAAAGTAAGCGGAAGCTCACATGGCTATACTCATCCACCACCATTACCCTATTTCTCCTCATCCTTCATTTCTCATAGAATGAAGGCAACAACCAACATACAAAACTAGTCTGTGAAAACTCAAATCTAACTAAAAAGATATTGCGTCTGTAAACACTAATCAGTATTCTTAGTATCGCACAAACGCAGGCAAACGCGTCAAAAATGCGCAAGCCCACGTGGTCATTGACCTCGTGTTTCTGTATTATCGTTGAACATCAGGAAAATGTAACTTGATATAGGTTATTTATATACTTCAAGATTCACACCATCAAAACAATTACATGTGTCGTGACAATGGACAAAAATGTGCTATTACATGTCTAAAAGTTATGAAAACATGATGACATCACCGATGCAATAAACACATATTTATACACAACTGGTTAAGTTGGGATATCGGTCAATGTTTTCCTTTTTAATGCACGAGTGTATTCAGTTGAGAGAATGCACAACGACTTAATTCCATCCATAAATGAACTCAAATTTAGAGAAACACATAACTACATTGTTAATAGCCATAGCAGTTTAGTTCGATGTTAATAACGACGATACTGGTACAAAATAAACTCGTTTGTAACGGATCATGTTGGACCTTAGTCACACTCATTTGTAACAAATCGTGATGAATCTTGTTCACACTCGTTGTTAATGAACCCTGCTGGACCTTTGTTGCATTCTTTTATTACCAACTCCGTTGGACCGTAGTAAACACTCGTTTATGATGAACCCCGCTGGAATTTTGTTGCACTAATTAATAACGAACCCCGTTGGACCTTAGTCACACTCGTTTATACTGAACCCCGATGGACCTTAGTCACACTCGTTTATACTGAACCCCGTAGGACCTTAGTCACACTCGTTTATACTAAACCCCGTTGGACCTTATTCACACTCGTTTATAATGAACCCCGTTGGACCTTAGTCACACTCGTTTATACTGAACCCCCTTGGACCTTAGTCACACTCGTTTATACTGAACCCCGTTGGACCTTAGTAAACACTCGTTTATGCCGAACCCTGTCGGACCTTAATCACCGTCGTTTATGCAGAACCCCGTTGGACCTTTGTTGCACTCGTTTATACTAAACCCCGTCGGCTTTAGTCACAATCGTTTATACTGAACCCCGTCGGACCTTAGTCCAGCCCGTTTACACTGAACCCCGTCGGACCTTAGTCACACTCGTTTATAACGACAAATTTGGGACCAAAGCAGCTCTCGTTTATATCAAGTACCGTTGGAGCTAGTTAAACCCCTTTGTACCGAAAGTCATAACGGTTATGTGGTACCTGAAAACCAAATCTGGCTGGCCGGTGCAAGCGCTTATAGTTCGTTCCAAGGAGAGACAATAAAGAGGTAGACGGCTGGCAGTTGATACTGCCTCATTATAGCGGTAGCTTACGGAAATAATTGGATGTTAACTGAGAAATATGAGTCCTAATGCAGTTTCAGTTAAATGATGTTCACGTGATTCATATCATATACATGTTAACGAAGAACTACGCATGTACATTACATACCGACAGCATTCACAACTTAAGCATGTTATACAATTAACAATGGACGGTTGATTAAGTTATACATTTGTTACACAATTAGCTACTTCCATACCACTACCCTGTTCAGGATTTGTTCTGCCGTATAAGTTCCTTGACTATGGTAACAATACGAGCATGCTTGGGTGACTATCTTCCCTTTTCGTCTCGAAATGCCTTTAAATAAAGTTACCACAGTGTTATCTATTTTTTGTTAAATCTTTTTTTTTCAGATCTAGCCTTCTCCCAGATCTCCTTAATAGTCTGCTGGGTGGTATATGTAATGAAATAGACCATGCATGTATCTACAACAATGCATTATAGACTGTCGAGTCTGGTCTGCCTGCTTATGCACGGTAAGTATGTATGTATTGATAACATTACTATGAAAATGGCAAATGTTAATCTGGTTAAGGTAATGATATATCAAATTACTAATTAGTACCTTTATTACAAATTTTCAAAAGATTTTTGGAAAATTAGCTGAAGACCATTTCTATAGTGTAATGAACACGTGCACCTGCGATGTGCAAGATGGTTTATGCCTATCTGTAGTGTTTTGCTCTTCACATTTCTACACTTTAACGACAAGGACAAAAAAGAGGTCGACATAGAGACATACAGTCATTGCATAAAGTTATGTTATATACAAGGTAGCCGTTCAGCTTTGTTTACTCATTATTTGAATGTCGGATTAGTGTAGTATAAATTTATATGTGTCCAAGGCATAGGATGGAACTTTCCCTGTTTTTAGAAACGAGTCCCAATCTTTTTGATATTTTGTAACATTCTCATGTTTGCAAACATCAGTACAATGTTTAAAGGTGTCAGAATGTTATTTTAGTAAGTACATAATCGTCTAGATAGAGCTTACGAATGGAGAAGAGTGTGGAAATATAAGTGAGTGTGCAAATGTGTTTCAAAGTCCTTTTTACAAACGAAAAGTATCTATTTAATTTACACGATGTATGGGGAGAAACTAAAGAATGAAACAAACGTGAATGATCTGTGTATTTCGTGGACTTCTTCGATAAGTTTAAATATCCATATCAACTCTTTCTAAATCGATGTAACAGCTGCCTTTGTTTTATGGAAAAAATACATGTTTAGGTGTACAAAGCTGCCTGTATGAATGTCTTTACGCCTGATGTAAATTGGAAGACTAGTTATGTTGTTAAATCTAGTCCCGTTACAAAACGTCATTAATCCACCGTATCGAAATATATCAATTTGAAAAACAATGTTTTTCCAACCTTCTAAAAAACAGAATTTTTAACGAACGGATGACCTGTTCGAATGTTCACTACAGAACAAATGATCCCATAAAGCTCAAGTTCAGTATGGGGGTTTCCCTAGAAAATAGCAAGACATTTCCTAATGTTGGACGTGGTTCGTTACTTTCGTATCTTTTCATAGGGATAGGAAAACACCTGTTTATTTCCATCATAAGTTGATGTTACTCATGAAAATAGGATTTTGTTTCAACCTAGCTACAGAAGCTCTGGATTCAATACGTTATCGGCCGCTAAATAGATTTTGACTGACTGCTATATAATTTGTTTCCTTGCTTCAATATAACTTGCGAAGTTGCGATAAGGGCAAATATGCTTCCTTTTCCGAGGTAGCAACTCCACAACAAGAGACTATCATAGTATCCAGTACCATACTTAGAGACAAATACAAAACGTCTTGGGAGCAGAAGGCAACTGCGCGGACTAGTCATCTGGTTGATGGAGTCCACTCTGGATAATTCGGTCACGTATTGAGCATGGAATTCAAGCTCGTAAGTGAAGACAAGTTAATGTATAGTTTAGTTAGTTGATTGCTTAACGGCCCAACAGCGATGAGTTTATATCGGGCCTGACAACAACACTAAGGGACATATACAAAGTTTAATACACTAAAAATGAAATTGAATGGTAAAAGGTTAAACGTTTGAAGAGGAGAGGAGCTCGGTTAGTGTGGTGTGTTAAACAGACTTAGACCTTTAGTGTTAGCATGGAATGGAATGATGTTTAGACGGCTAATTACTGATGACAAATTTATTTGCTAAGCGATATTCTTTGAGCTCGGAATATATCTATTTTCCGTACGATCTTTATGTTAGTTCTACCTTAATTCAGTTAACGGGATAATCTAGTACTAGTAACAATATGACTGCTAATAACCACAACTTTAATTGTAGCAAGCTGCGTTGCATGCTGGTCATCTCGGGGTGAGCTAGACATCCGTAAGACAGTGTTTAAGAAGAACGTGTACAACAGAATGGTCAGACCCGACGTGAACATGACAGCAAAGGTGGGCCTTAATCTCCTCTCTATCAACGATCTGGTGAGTTTAATTATCTTTGTTTAATATCTCTATACATCTTGACTAGCGATATGGTGATTGTTACCCTTTATAGACGTATATCCTCTATGTGGTATTGTGTGTTCCTTTGTATAATATGCTTGTAGAAGTGGCCTTTATCCCTAAATGAACTGTTAACGTTACAAATCCCGTGGGTTTTTTCATTATACCCAAGCATGACTCCTTTTCTGCGGGGATGGGAACTCGGCATACGTCGCCTCTAACGAAACATGCAATAGGATGCATCAGACCTAATCTTTTCCCGAAACCTGCTGGAGCAAAATGTATACGTCACTGCCGATGTAAGTAAAACGTCATAGCCATGGTTTGGTATTAGGTCGAAACCAGGGCTTAGTATTGTTTGAGAATATATTGTCACATGTTTAATCAATAAATCTTGAAATGTCTTTGAGAGATGTAAAAGATGAATACCATGGGCAAGATGGATGGCTAGCATCAAAATATCAGTAGGAAAACATTCATACGAAGGTCAATGTTTCTCATTACTAGTATAATCATTTAAACACGATTCGTAATTTGAGGACGTGGTTTGATTTGACCTACATTCACAGACGCAGAAGACTTTTCCCAACTCAAATGCTTGTATACATTTCTCGTGTGTTTATAATCTGCTCCATTTTTATCGATTTTGGGATCAAATAACGGTTTTGTTCACTCTTCGTATTTTCATCCTTAGCTTTTGAGAAGAGAGATCAGCGTATGATGCCAAAGTATTGTTATATCTTTCAGAGCATGGTGGACCAGAGCATGTCTGTGATCGGATGGCTGACAGTGGTAAACACACATTTACATATTCAGCTTCCAAAAAAAGCATTAAAACATATACATGAATCTGTCATACAAATTACAATGATGAAGCAAATTTATTTTTTAATTACTTTAGAATAGAATTTATTCTTTCATTATCAATTTCCATATTTTACAGATTGAAGTAGTAACAGTCTTTCCTTCATAATCCTATAACTTGCCAGTTTTGAAGACGTAAACGGCTATTACGACGGACAAACCCTGTAAATAATTGTTGGAATTGAATCATGTGTGTATTGTTGCAATTACTCAGAAATAGAAAAATAAACATTCGGTTGGTATTTTTTATTTGAAACTCATTTACTTTCGTTTTGGAAATGTTGCTATTGAAAGTTGATGCACCTTTTTTGCTGCCATCTAGGAATGGTATGATCACCGACTAGAGTGGGCAAAGGCAAATTACGATGACGTAGATCACATTTATGCGTCGGACAACGATGTTTGGAAACCTGAGCTCTTCATCGACAATTCGTGAGTACTTGTTGTTGCTTTTACACTTACATCTGACTTTTGCTTTGCCAAATTAATTTCCTTATCGACCGTATGTTCCGATTTTGTACCTGGATGTTAACACTACAGAATATACATTATGTGTAGATGATGTGGTATTTACCTCATATTCATATAGCGTACTTATTTTTGGTAACATCTGAGTGACTTTATGATCCCAATCAAATGCTTTTTGTTTTTTGTTTGAATTCAATATCTATCTCCAAAATGATCCGTGTTTTTCCTTAGTGAATAGTATGATCGTATAAACTAACTCATTTCCTTGTTATTTTATTTATGTGTTAACTTGATGTTACTATAAATAAAAACTAGAAATAATGTTAGAAACAATATTGAACGAGCAATATTCTTCTGTATATTGTAAACAATAATGATACAAAGAATTCAGGGATCACGCCAGATAGACATGTTAAATTGGTTTGGGTTCTGTATCTCTCATCAACCTTGTATTTATTGTTTGTAGCAAAAGAGATGGAGGTTTCTGTAACACGCTGTTTTCCAAACAGTTCCATGAATTTGTTTATACTTCCTATTACCAGCTAAGGTCAATACTGCCTGTATGAATACATACACCATATATTACACTCATTGCCCTCTGGCAAGTCGATCTGTTCGGCACTTACATTCATGTTGCCTTACTTCTACCGAACATATTTTTTAGTGTTGACGACGTGTCCATACTACAGGACGACAATCTATTGTTCCGTGTGGCTGACACTGGGAAGGTAGACTGGGAAATGCCTCAGATATTCGTCACTTCCTGTACCATAGACACCACCTACTACCCCTTTGATACTCAGGAGTGTGCCATCGACGTCACTAGCTGGGCTTACACGATGGCGGAACTGGACCTCTTCCACCTGTGGGAGGATATCAACGTCGAGGATCTTGTGTAAATTTCATTCTTTGCATTCAATATTCATCGACACAATTTTTAGGATACAACTAATATGATACAAGAGTTGAACCGGTTAGAATTTTCTAATTGCTGATATATGCTCTAAGGGAATGATTAAAGCTACCATTAACATAATTATATTTTGATTTTAATCAAAAATTAATGTTATAATCAGCAATATAGTCATTCTAAACATCATATCAATATAATTTCCTTAATAATATGTCAAAATGTCGACATACCTGTCTCCGCAGAGAAAACGGTGAGTGGTTGTACGTCACCTCCAGAGTGGAGATGTCAGTAATCACAGACACGACAGCCACTGACGTGAAGAAATTCTCACTCCTCAAGTTCGTCGTCATCCTCACTCGCCGCTATGACTACTACGTCACTAACGTTGTACTTCCTGTCCTCATTACGTCATTTCTTGTTACCCTCGTCTTCATACTTCCGGTGGATTCCGGAGAGAAGGTGTCGTACTCCGTGACTGTGTTACTGGCCTTGGCTGTGCTCCTGACCCTGATCGCTGACAGTATGCCCAGCACGTCGATATGTGTGTCGATTTTGTGTGAGTGTCGTCATAGTTTTATGCTCGTCCAACGTGTTCTGTTTACACACAGGGGCACGACTAACATTCCAAAAAAACGTACTTTAATCGTGATTTGTTTGTATGTGGGAAGGCATAACAAAAGGTGAAAAGTTTAATTTAGACGAATAACTACACATTTATTACGTAAAACAATGGCTATCATCATTTGAACACCGATAGACACGACATTGAAGTAGTAATCTTATTTACAAACAGAAAGTTATTATAGTAAACATATACAATCACCTGCCTACGGCAATGAAAAGTGATAATAAGGAACCTATTTTATGTTACAGCCGTGTACCTAGCCTTTACCATGATCATGGGCGTACTGGCGGTGGGGTTGTCGGTACTGGTCCTCCGTATCCACTTCAAGGACCCCGAAAATCCCGTACCCGTCTGGCTTCATAAGATAACCAGGAGACTGTTTGCGAGAGGGGCGTGCTGGAGAGGCTACTGCTGCTGTCGGAACAGAAAAGAATCTCCAAATATGATGCTTCTACCGCAGTATAGCGAGGAGTACAATAGAGCTATCTTGATGTACTCCTGGCCAGAGATAGCGGCCATATTTGACTGGTTTCTGTTCGTTGTATTCTTCTGGTCAACACTTGTCAGTACGGTAGTGTTTATGATATTTCTGAGGATCGGAGGAACAATACATTAGTGATTCAATGGTAGGGGAAGTTGTTTTAACGACTGGCAAGCATCTTAAATATTATTTACGATAGCATGCAACACTAATCCATAATGCGCGGTATGTTTAAATGAAAGTTATATTTACGTACAAAATTACAAACAACAATTATGTTTAATTTTCAAATAGTGTTTAAACTAGTGATTTCTTTAAATTATGTCACAAGTATAATATACTGTATCTGTATACTAATCAAAGGCAAATTCTCCTGAACTCCATTTCTGCTTTTAATGACATTATTCCATTAAATACCCAGACTTTTCTTTATGGATGTCAAAGACTCGATATCAATATGAATATAGGTATCTTGGAGATGGTTCAGAGATTCGTTAAAGATAGAAGACGCTTTAACTAGATTACACTTACTTGTTTATCTCATGACTTCGCTGTGTGGAATGATACCAGTACATACTTTTACTATGTGCTCTGTCCACCAGCATCATTTTAATTGCCATTTTTTTGTAAAATCTAGTTTTTGTACAACAATTATCAAAAAATTAATAATGACATGCAAATATCAATATTCATGTACATAATATAAATGTTTTATCATTACTTCAATTCAATATGATGTGTGTAAACTGTTTATAACTGTAAGGAGAGGGCGCTCATAGGCTTTGCCTGTTGCCCAATTCCTTTGTATCTAAGATCTGAACAATAAATATTCTG